AATATAGCAGAACACTATTTCTGTTAGACCATCTCCCTCTGTAAACGAACAAGGTTAAAAGAGTAATTTCTGGAACTTATAATGCACTATACTGTTGGATAATTCCTAACTTGTTTAGGAAGTTATCTCCTTAGAAAGTTGTCTAAGAGATAAACATAAGGATTTATTTAATAATGTTTTAGATATAGTTTAATATCTAGATAAGGTTTTATATTTCCTTTGTTATATAGAATTAGGAGAAGCTAATATCTATATAAACAGAGTCTAAGGAGAGATGTTCCTTAAGACTAAAATAAGAGGTTTAGTTTTGAGAAGTTTCTAAATCTAATAAAGAAGAGAAGTTCTTTATAAACAAGTTCTTAGCACATTATATCCTTGAATTGGTAGCAGAGCAAAGACGAAGCCTAAGGGATTACCTAAACGAAGATCACAAGCAACACGACGATGGGAGACGAGTTGGTCCAACCACGTCCAAAGGATATCGGATCAGCAGCGATCCAATGTCCTATGCTCACATCAACAAACTACACAGTTTGGACGATGAGGATGACAGTTATGTTAAGAGTATACGAAGTATGGGACACGATCGAACCAGGGTCTACGGATGCAAAGAAGAATGACATCGCGATAGCCCTGCTGTTTCAATCTATACCCGAATCGCTTATACTTTAGCTAGGTGAGCAAACTACATCAAAAGGAGTCTGGGATGCAGTCAAGTCGCAACATCTAGGAGCAGATCGAGTGAAAGAAGCAAGGCAACAGACATTGATGGCTGAGTTTGACAAGCTGACAATGAGCAACACTGATTCTGTAGATGATTTTTCAGGAAAAATCTCAGGTTTGGCTTCTAAGTCAGCCTTATTAGGAAAAACCATTGAAGAATCAGTGCTAGTAAAGAAATTCCTGAAAGCTCTTCCCCGAAACAAGTTTATCCAGATCGTGGCTTCTCTAGAACAAGTTCTAGACTTAAACGCAACAAGTTTTGAAGAGATAGTTGGGAGGATAAAAGCATACGAAGAGCGAATAGGAGAAGAAGCTCAAAAGGAAGATCAAGGCAAGCTAATGTGGGCTAACTCTGATCAGAATAACCGTGGAGGTTATGGAGGTTCTCGTGGAAAGAGCAGAGGTGGTGGAGGCAGAGGAAGAGGTCGAGGGAGATCAAATAGCCAAAACCAAGGAGGAGCACCTGGAGAATCGAATCAGAAACAAAAGAAGGACAGGTCGAAAGTCATCTGTTGGATATGCGACAAACCTGGTCACTTCGCATCAACTTGTCCAGAAAAGAAAAATAAAAACCAAGAGACAACCTTAATGAAACGGAAGAAGCCGAGGCATTATATGTTCACGAGGTCGTGTTTCTGAACGAGGACAAGATAAACCCAAACAACTATGATACCGGTGAAGAAAATAAGAGCATATGGTTCCTAGATAATGGTGCAAGCAACCATATGACGGGAAACAGAGGATTCTTCTCCAGCCTAAACGAGCGTATAAAAGGACAAGTAAAGTTTGGTGACGGCTCATATGTTGATATAATGGGAAAAGGTACAATTACCTTTGTGAGCAAGACAGGTGAAAAGAAGGCTCTCAAAGAAATTTACTTTATCCCGAGTTTGAAGCATAATATTTTGAGCTTAGGACAAGCAACAGAGAATGGGTGTGAAGTGAATATGAAAGGAGATTCACTAACACTAAGTGATCCTCAAGGAAGGTTACTTGTCAGAGTCAAAAGATCACCAAACCGTCTGTACAAAACTCCAATGGAAATACTGGTTCCTAAGTGTCTTCAAGCACAAGACGATGACACTGGTTGGACTTGGCATGCACGGCTGGGTCATGTGAACTTTGGAGTACTCAAGAACATGGTCGACAATGATCTGGTCACAGGGTTACCACGGTTTCAGCAAGAGAAAAGAGTGTGTGATACATGTCTAGTAGGGAAACAAACAAGAAGGTCATTCCCAACAAAGACAATGTATCGAGCAACACAAGCATTAGAGCTGATCCATGGTGACTTGTGCGGGCCTATATCACCACCAACACCAGCAAACAATCGATATATCTTTGTACTTATCGATGATTTCTCAAGATTCATGTGGTCTATATTGATGAAGGAAAAAAGAGAAGCATTTGATCGGTTCAAAAGGTTTAAAGAAGGTGTTGAAAAGCAAACAGGTTTGTCCATAAAAACCTTTCACACCGATAGAGGAGGAGAGTTTACATCTTCTGAGTTTAATCTGTTCTGTGAAGAGAATGGAATAAGAAGACACTTAACGGCACCATACACACCACAGCAGAATGGTGTGGTGGAGAGAAGGAATCGGACGCTTATGGAGATGACAAGGAGCTTACTCATCGCAATGAAAGTTCCAAATCACTTATGGGGAGAAGCCGTTCGACACTCAACCTACCTCATCAACAGAATCCCAACAAAAGCCCTAAAGAATCAAACTCCATATGAAAGCTTTACCTCCAAGAAACCAAACATTGAGCACTTAAAGGTTTTTGGATGTATCGCTTATGCTAAAATCACAACGCCACATCTAAAGAAGCTAGATGAGAGGTCAAGATGTGTAGTAAACCTAGGAACTGAGCCGGGTTCTAAGGCCTACAGGCTACTTGATCCAGAGGCAGGGAGAGTATTGGTTAGTAGGGATGTTATCTTCGATGAAACAAGGGGTTGGGACTGGTCACCAAAGATTAAAGAAACCAATGGTGAACCAGGAATGTTCAGGCTTCCTCAAGGAAATTCGGTAGAAGAAGAAATCGAACCTAAATCATCATGATCAACAAGAGCAAGAACTACCGATTCAAGAAGAGGAAGAAGAACATGGTGGACAACAAGTGCAACAAGAAATAGGACCACAGCCAGCTACAACAAGATCCGGCCGAGTAATAAGAAAGCCTGGGTACTTAGATGACTTTGTAATGCTTGCAGAAGAAGAAAGTGAGAGATTGCTTTTCACCATAGATGGAGAACCAGAAACTTTTCAAGAAGCAGAGCAATTACAAGAGTGGATCGATGCTATGAAAGCCGAGATGGATTCTATTTCAAAAAAATAAAACATGGGAGCTTGTCAAAAGGCCAAAAGGAGTTAAACCTATCGGACTAAAGTGGATCTACAAGATCAAAAGGAATGCGGATGGCTCAGTGAACAAGTATAAAGCCAGACTTGTGGCAAAAGGGTATGTGCAACAACAAGGTGTAGATTTCGACGAAGTATTTGCCCCTGTGGCAAGAATCGAAACTATACGACTTTTAATAGCCCTAGCAGCAGCAAGAGGATGGGAAATACATCACTTAGACGTCAAGACAGCCTTCTTGAATGGAGATCTCAATGAAATAGTCCATGTATGTCAACCAGAAGGCTTTGTGAAGAAAGGAGAAGAAGATCTTGTGTACAGACTTCATAAGGCACTATATGGCCTGCGACAAGCACCTAGAGCTTGGAACATCAAGCTTGATCAGGTCTTAAAAGGGATGGGCTTTAAGAAGTGCTTAAAAGAACCATCGGTATACCTTAAGACGAACAAGGAAGACACTCTCATTGTGGCGATATATGTTGATGACTTGTTTGTTACTGGAACATCATTGAAGGTTATCAAACAATTCAAAGAAGATATGTCAACAAGGTTTGAGATGTCCGACCTTGGGAAGTTAAGATACTATCTTGGTATAGAAGTAATTCAAGGAGCAGATGGAATAAAAATAAAACAAGAAGGATACGCTCAGGGAATACTAGTTGATACCAAGATGGAGGCATGCAATCTGTCTCATGTTCCAATGGAGGCAAACTTGAAGATTTCAAAAACTGAAAACGAAGCAGAAATCGATGCTACACGATATATAAGAACAATAGGGTGCTTGAGGTACCTTCTTCACACGAGACCCGACTTAGCATTCTCAGTAGGGGTTTTAAGTCGCTATATGCAGAGTCCTAGAGAATCTCATGGACAGGCTATCAAGCGAATTCTAAGGTATGTAAGAGGAACAACAAACTTGGGATTGGACTTTAAGAGAGATGGAACAAGAAGGATTACTGGGTACAGTGACAGTAGTCACAACATTGATGTCGATGATGGAAGGAGTACTGCAGGACACGTCTTCTATCTCGGTGCATCACCAGTTACTTGGACATCTCAGAAGCTATCCACCGTCGCCTATCTTCATGTGAAGCAGAATTCATGGCAGCTACAGAGGCAGCAAAACAGGCAATATGGCTTCAAGAGTTGTTAAAAGAAATACTAAGTATCGACTCCAGCAAAGTCATACTTAGAGTTGATAACAAGTCAGCCATAGCCCTTACAAAGAATCATGTGTTTCATGGAAGAAGCAAACACATTCTTTCTAGGTATCATTTCATCCGAGAGTGTGTGGAGAATGATCAGATCGAAGTGCAACACATTCCAGGAACGCAACAAAAGGCAGACATCCTTACTAAAGCCTTGGCGAGAGTCAAGTTCAAAGAAATGAGGAGTTTGCTTGGAGTAGAAGACATATTCTCACCTGAAGTTCAAGTTGGAATTAAGGGGGAGAATGTTGGATAATTCCTAACTTGTTTAGGAAGTTATCTCCTTAGAAAGTTGTCTAAGAAATAAACATAAGGATTTATTTAATAATGTTTTAGATATAGTTTAATATCTAGATAAGGTTTTATATTTCCTTTGTTATATAGAATTAGGAGAAGCTAATATCTATATAAACAGAGTCTAAGGAGAGATGTTCCTTAAGACTAAGATAAGAGGTTTAGTTTTGAGAAGTTTCTAAATCTAATAAAGAAGAGAAGTTCTTTATAAACAAGTTCTTAGCACATTATATCCTTGATATACCATAACACAATTCTGCTAACGCTGTAATTTAGTCATATACGCAGTCTATATTCTTAAAAAATCATCAACTCTCTTCTCTTGACTTAGCCTTCTCTCACAGAACAACATTTTCTCGGGAAAATCCGAGTTTCGTCTAAGTTTCTCTCATTTTCTCGGGAAAATCCGGGAACATGGCTTCTTCCTCCTACCCTCCTTCCCTCACAACATCCCCTCTCTACGTCGCTCGAAAAGCCAAAGAGATCCTCGCAACACATGACGTCACAGAAATCACCAAACTCGTCACGACTCTCGGTTTCGCGAAAGAAACAGAGGACCAATCTTCGGATCTTCTCTACAAATCCTTCAAAAAACATTTCCCGAATCTCTTAGCCGTGAAACTCCTCCAAGTTTACAGATTCCCGGAGTCGAAGACGATGGTTCGATCCCATTCCCTCTCGCTCCTCGACTCACTTCTCATCGATCTCGAAGATTCAAGAATCAGATTGAAAACAGAGGCGTTGCATGACATCAAAGAACTTCTCAACTCTTGCCTTGTCCAACAAGAAATCTCCGATCTTGATTCCAAACCCCTCTCGAGAATCATATCTTGTGTCGAGAAGCTTTGACGTTTCGCGGGCCTGAGTACGAAATGCCACGTTTAGCTTTGATGATTATGACAATCAATGGAGTTAGAAAAGATTCAAAGATTGCGACGAGGATGATTCTTGATTTCATTCAAAAGCATATTTTGATATTAACTGCTCAAAAAGATTCGAAGGTTTAGGGTTTAGGTTTCTTTTCTTTTCTTTTTTTTTTTGTAATTGGTTTTACTGAGAATTTTGCATGTTGTGAAATGTGAAGAAACTAGAGTTTGTACGTAGAACATTATGATTTTATGTTATATGAAATTGGAGGTTGATTTTACATTCGACTAATTTGCTTAGCTAAACTAGGCTAATTATATTGTCACTTTTATAAATCTCTGAAACTTCCAAGCTATACCAATGATATTTTTATTCTCCACTTCACAATTACTCCACCAAAATTTAATCATCACACTTTGTAATTCTTACTCACTGTCTGAATGCATAAATATGAATAGATAAAATCAAAGGATACATTTAATGTAAAATTAATTTGTTGAAGTTTAAATTTATTAGCTTTTAGAGGAAATTATGTATTTATAGAGAAAATCTTCATTAAAAAAAATCCACAAGACCTTTTAGAGAAATATCTAAAAGTAAGCCACCATTCAAATCTATACCAAAATACAAAGAGTGTATTTTCTAAATATAAAAAGATAAGATTACTGATAGATTTTTTTATTAAAACAAAAAAATAATGTTTTATGAAAGTATAACAAGACTAATTAGCTATAAATATGTAGGTGCGATTTTATTTTCTCTTTCACTTTCGCAAAACAAATCAAAAAGAAGAAAAAAAAAAAGTGGGAGAGAAAAGTATCGTGAGGACGAACCGACGAAGAGATGGATATTAACGAAGCTAGAGAGTTTCCTCCACATTGGCTCCTATGGTACGTGAGATTTTGTTATAATATTAATTCAGATAATATATCTTGAGTAATTTAAAAGAATATACGATTGATTTTGTATTTTGTTTAGGTGGGAATCAGGCAACTATTCTCGAAGCATGCATGAGCTGATCACAGGAGTTATTATGGCAGTGAACATATATAACCATACAGTGATCGAGTTGATATTCTCACCACCCTTCGTCTCGTACTTTGTTTGTGGAATCTGTGAACTTTTTCTCGCTTGGAGATGGACAAATGATCGAGACTTGATCTGCTTCGTCGTCCACAAGATGTTCGGACGATTGAGCCATGCGTTTGGCAGTTTTATTATCCTCTCTTTGGTCTTTGAACTGAGTGATGATCAATTATGTCGCTATATGGGCATATTATTCTTCGTATATTGTCTGGTTGTTCTTTGTCTTTGTTTTTTTTTTTACCAAGAAGAATGGACAATAATGTAGCTTACTTCACCACAAGCCTAGACGATGAGCATTTGCTTGATGATATTCCAGCTGAACATATATCTCAGATTCGTTGGTAAGTCATGAAAATAGTCTATATCAAAATTCACAAATAGACTAATTTTTTTTTTCATTTAACAAAATAGTATAAATTTAAATTTTATTGGACAATAATTTCATTAAAAATAATATTTTCATCTTAATTTGTATTTTATAATAGTTAACTTGATGATCATACATTTATAAAACTTATATATATATATATTACTTATAATATTACCTATACAATTTATATACAATATATACTTATTGGATGTACTTTTTAGTATTTTGGATTTGCTTTATTTTTAAAGGATATTAGATTTTCATATTTAATTTGCTCTGTAGAATTACATATATCCGGATTTTTTTTCCAATTAAAGTGGTTAACAGATCAAAGCGAATATATATATATGTGGAATAGCGTTTTGAAAAAATATGAGAAAACTTGCATTCCATTCAAACCCGTTATTTAGTTGTCTAATCTGTGGATATAGGTGGGGATCGAAGGAGTTTGGTCGAACCATGTATGAGATAATATTGGGAGCCAATCTTGCGTTGATTGCACATTACCATATCAAAATCATCAAGAGCTTATTATATTTCTTCATACTCTTCCTAGTTTACTTTCATTTCGAATTTCGTGACATCTCACTGTCAGAACATGTGATGTGCAGAAGCTACGCCCAACTAATTGGACTTTTAACAGCCTCGTACTTCATATATCACCGAATCTCGCAAGTCTTTGGTCTCGGTCTGATTACAATATCTATCATCTGTCATATTGGGATTATAGCTATCAATTGCTATGAAGCTGTGTTTGATAATTGATAAACATGTATGTGAATCCTATTAATATTTATCGATTTTCTCAGTAACCAGATTGTAACATCCCAACCCAATTAGAGGAAGTCCAGCAAATCCAGGCCCACTCCAGAAACCCTAATATAAATAGGGAATTAGGAGTTAATAAGCCTCATTCTGCCTCTAATTACCCTAGTCCCCAAAGAAAAGAAAGTGAGAGAGAGAAGGAGAAGCTGCACGCCGCCGCCGCCGAGGAGGGAAGCCGCCGCCGCCGGAGAAGGGTGCCGCCGCCGCTTGCCGAGAGAAGAAGGAGCACTCGCCTGCCTCCACTTTCTCAGAAGTTGCTTGATTCTTTTGCCTCTTCTATTTCTCCTTAATCTCAGATCTGCTTTTAGGCCAAGGTGAGGATTAGATCTAGTTCTTTCTTCTTATCCCTTTATCTTCTTCTGGCGTGTTGAGTCTAGATCTGGTGGGACGGGTCTGTCTTCTTGTGCATCTAGGCAGATCCATATATATGTATATAACTAATAAGATCTAGGATCTCATTAGAAGAAGAACCAGCATGATTGATTGATAACCCTGTTGATTGGTTAGTGATTGGTAGAAGTCCTAAAGGTCATAGTCTGTTTCTGGTATAGTGATGTGCCGAATGCAGGCTTGTTTGCTGGGTTATGTGCCGTCTGTGTGACCGTGGCAATAATCCATTCATCCGGTGGAGTGATGACCCACAGGGCTGTCCATGTGGCATGCCGGGATTGGACTGTCTGTGTGACAGGGTCTCTGTCTGTGTGACAGGGTGAGATGTCGACCTGTGTCCGAGTGACAAGGTGGTTTGGCCTATTGAGAGGCGGGATCGGAGACATCACTGCTTGTTAGTTGCTTGTGCAGTTGTAGAGTGTTTGTTTGGTTTCATTAGATTTATTCTTAATATGTTGGTGGAAATAAATGAATAAGGCGGGAGCCTGGTTTGGTTCTCACTGAGTAATTCTCCCAAATTACTCACCCCTCTCTCTCTAAATTCCGATGTGCAGGTGATTGTGATTGTGAGTGTGATTGTGATGATGTCTGGGAAGAACTAGACGAGTAATTCTAGTGTGGTGTGCCTTCAGAAATGGAGGAAGTTTTATTATTTTTAAGAACTATTTCACCTTTCTTTTTAAGACAATGTTTCTATTTATTTCGGATTTAATAAGTTATTTCATTTCTATTGTAAGACTTGGATTTAGGTTTAGATTTGAATAAAGAACAACAAGTTATTTGGAATTGGTTTAGTTTAGGTTAGTTAATATCCCGGTTTATTCTGGTTTCCTCTGGAACCAGGAATCGGGGTGTTACAATTTGGTATCAGAGCATGGTTCGAGCTAGGTGTTAAGAAAGCTAAGTCTAGAATAGTGGGAATGGGATTCGGATTTCAAAAAAAAGAAAAAATGGTTTAAAAATTTTTTTTTAAAAGTTTTCAAGTTTTCAAAGTTCAAAGATTTTTCAAATGTTTTCAAAGAAAGAAAACCACCACCTAGACTAGCCTCTCTAGTTTTGTTGTTCTTTTCTTTTGCAGGAAGTTAGTCTTTACGGGACCAGGCTAACTTATCTGTCTCCATGTCTTGTCAGATGCCTCCGAGGGCAAAGAATGTGCGCACCAGATCCCAAGCTCGTCGTTCAGGTGGTGCTGATGAGGCCTCGAACACATCAGGAAGTGTTGCCCTAGTGCCCCCAGCTCCAGTGGATCAGCAGGGAGAGAACCTTGCGGGAGGTGTGCCTGTTCAAGTGCCTCCAGCAGCAGAAGCAGCTCATGCTGCAGTCCTGGAGGAGTTGCGCCGTTATCGGGAGATGTATGGCCACTTGAACCCTGGAGTGGGAGTGAATGCTCAGCAGGACCAGCAGCAGCCGCAGCATCAGGAGCAGCAGAATGTGCAGCCGCCAGTGTTTGAGCCGCCGCCTGTGGTAGTGCCGCCAGTGTATGTTCAGCAGCAGTATGTGCCTCCACTGCCTCCTGCGCCTGTCAATGTGTTTGGACTGACCTATTATCAGGCCATGAAACATTTGAAGGATATGGGAATGGAAGCCTTTGGCGGGAGGTCTGACCCAGTGTCTGCGGATAACTGGAGGAAGAGGTTGGAGAGGAATTTTGAAGCCATGAGATGTCCGGAGGAATACCGGAAGGATCTAGCTGTTCAGTACCTGAAGGAAGAGGCGCTGATATGGTGGGATGGTGTGGTCGAAGCGATTCAAGGTCGTTATGAGTTGACCTACTGGGAATTCCAGGAAGCCTTTGCTAAGGAGTATTTCTCACCTGAAGCTTTAGATCAGATGGAGAGTGCCTTCGAGGACCTGCGTCAGGCGCACCGTACTGTAAGGGAGTACAAGGAGGAGTTTAACCGGTTGAGGAGGTTCTCCAGGAAGCAGTTCACGCAGGCAGATTTGGTTCGTCAGTTCATGAAGAGCTTGAAGTTGGAGCTAAGGAGCAGGTGTTCTCTTAGGAGATATGACACCTTGGTGGAGCTTGTGGAGACAGCTGCCATCTAAGAGACCTCGCTTGAGGAGCTAAGGAGAGTCAGGCAGGGCTTGTCTTGTCCAATCCGTGCTCAGGAAGGGCCAAAAAGGACTTGGGACACTATGGCAGCTCCAGGGGTGGGACTGCCTATGTGCTAGAGGTGTGGAAGGAGGCACCTAGGAAGGTGTGGCGCTCCCAAATGTTTTGGCTGTGGTAGTGTTGGCCACCATGAGAAGGATTGCGCAGTCGTGGGGACTAACCGGTGCTACCGTTGTGGGAAGAGTGGCCATCAGAGGAAGGATTGTCCGGGGAATGCGAATCCTCAGCAAGGAGTGGGAGCATTGCCAGGACCACCAGCTAAGAGGCAAGCTGTGGAACCCCATGTTTTCGCCATCGGAGATCCCGAAGGAGCAGCACCGATCGCTGGTTAGTAATGTTTTGTGAGATTCTATATTTTTGCTTGTGAATAGGAATGTAGAATGGAAATGCATGACTAGATATAAGTAATCATGTAGGATCGGTCTCAGTAGGGGGCGCGATTGCATATACACTGTTCGACACCGGTGCCACACATAGTTTTGTGAGCCCGAGGTTGACCCAGTGTTGGACCTTCTCCGGAAAGTTCACCCCCAGGTTGAAAGCAGTGGAAACTGCTGGAAGTGAGCAGGTGGAGACTATTGGAATCCATGAAGAGGTGCCTATCTTGTTGGAAGGAGCAGATTTTCCTTGGGCTCTAGTGGAAATAAAGTTGGGCCACTATGATGTCATCCTTGGAATGGACTGGCTGAAGCATTATGAAGTTGTCCTGAATTGCCGGAAGTCGAGGGCCTATATTCTGCATCGAGGAGGTCGGGTTGTCTTTCAAGGAGTAAAGACCGACACAGGAGTGCCAGTCATTTCGATGATTCATGCCGAGAATCTTATAGAGGAAGGATGTGAAGCCTTCTTGGCGACAGTCTCTATGGTAGGAGAAGGAGCACCTAAGAGCCTTGAGGAGATACCAGTGGTAAATGAATATGCGGACGTATTCCAACCATTGACTGGACCTCCGCCAAGAAGAAGAGTTGACTTCACTATCGAATTAGAACCAGGAACAGCCCCTGTTTCGAAGGTTCCATATCGATTGGCACCAGCAGAGATGGCTGAGCTAAAGAAGCAGTTGGAGGACTTGACGGATAAAGGATTTATTCGGCCAAGCAGCTCGCCATGGGGAGCGCCCGTGCTATTTGTAAAGAAGAAAGATGGAAGCTTTCGACTTTGCATTGATTATAGAGAGCTGAATAAGGTGACCATCAAGAATAAGTATCCCTTGCCAAGGATTGATGAGTTGTTGGACCAGTTAGAAGGAGCTTCATGGTTCTCTAAGATTGATTTGGCGTCAGGCTATCACCAGATTCGAATAGCAGAGGAGGACATTAGTAAGACAGCATTCCGAACTCGCAGAGTCGTGCATCATGTCTTGTGAGTTAGGCATTAGCCTAAGGCCACCAAAAATTGAAAAAAGTTTAAGGCCACAATTTTATTAATTAGTTCATGTATATAGTTAATGAGGTAAATATTGTTGGGTTATTCCTTTGAGATAAGCCAATATACTAATATTATTGATATTTATTTTTATGGATATTCAAACATAAAAAAGGAAAATTAAAAAAGGAAACTAAAAACTTAAATTAAGTATAAATTAAAAAGTCTCACATCCATATCTAAATGAGGAGGCCTATAATTTTTCTTCAATATAAGTAGCAAATCAATTAAATTCTTTTTAAGCTTAAAAACCAATGTTCAAACAAAGTTTGGGTTTGACTGGATCAATCGGTTTGAAACATTTTAATTAGTATTTCTAGATTTATCTGGTTTTTAAAAGTATACACGCATAGCGTGGACGCAAAATCTAGTATCAATTAAAATCTTTTTAAGCTTAAAAACCAATGTTCAAACAAAGTTTGGGTTTGACTGGATCAATCGGTTTGAAAATTTTTAATTAGTATTTCCATATTTATCTGGTTTTAAAAGTTCGACCGGATTGTCAGCCGATTTCCGGTTATACGTTACATAACCGTCTGATTTGTGGTTAAACAACTCGATTATGTGAGTTTGGTAAATAATTTTTTAGAAAAGAAAAGAAGAAAAATTATGTTTTATAATTTTTATAGTTTCGGTTATTATTATTTTTTTGTATGTTTAAGATGATATTTTTATACTAATTTTTTGTAAGGGTCATATTTTTTTAGTTCGCCTAAAGCCATCACAGATCTAAGCACGGCACTGCAAACTCGATATGGTCATTATGAGTTTGTGGTAATGCCGTTTGGATTGACTAATGCGCCTGCAGTTTTCATGAAGTTAATGAATGATATTTTTCGGGAGCACTTGGATAAGTGTGTGATTGTCTTTATTGATGATATCCTGGTCTATTGAAGGTAGGAGAGGGAGCATGAATGGCATTTGGGAATGATTCTGCAGAAGTTAAGGGATCAGCAGCTTTTTGCGAAGCTAAGCAAGTGTAGCTTTTGGCAGAGGAAGATGGGATTCCTTG